GTACGGGTTTTTGTGTCTGAATCCCAGAGTCAGGTTGGTTCGCTTCGGGAAGGAGCAGGAAAAGGAGATCTCAACGTCATGCTGCCTGGAAACAATTTTCCTTTTGTCTGCAGATGTGATCACATTGGTAAAGATAATGCTATCATCATCCTCCTGAAAAGTACAAAATGAAAGAGAATAAAATGAGATATGAAGGAAATGGCATGTTTTGGCTAAAGAGATTTTAAAGAGAGTTTGGAAGTGAAAATAATCCCCTTTTTTCACTAGACATGTTTTACATTTAGACAAAATTAGGTTGTTGATCATGGATAGTCTTAGGGGTTGATTTAAAGTTACAGTCCTTTACTTTTATGAGAAGCTATTTATGTATTTGTAAAAAAAAAAAAAAAACTCAATATTTTGAGGTTTGTTGTGAAATATTTAAAATAAATAAGCACTGCAGCTGCTTGATCTCTGGAGTTTACCTCAGAATGGATTGCGCAGGCCTCCTCTCACTGAAAATGGACCCAGGCTGACCTGACCTGTAATTTACTTGAACCCCCTGTGAGTGTAACGGTGTTTAGGTTGTAGAATCCCACTTGCTTTATGTATCAGTGCAATGGGGAAATAGCGCCCCCTCTCTGTGTGGCTGGTTTTATACTGCTGGCTCCTGTACTTAGGGGCCCCTTTTGCTGCTAAAAACATCAGCACCACTAACAGCATTTCAACATAGATTAAGTGAAATCTGGGAGAGGGGAAGTGGTTTCATTGGCCAACCTAAAAAGCAATCAGTGATGATTGTAGTTTGCTAAGATGTATTTGTGAATAAACAGAGCTCAAACTCAAAGGGGGCCTTATGGAGCAGCTGACTTAATTTGGATTAAACGGATGTGCAAATTTATATTCATTTTAGTTGTATTTTTTTTCATTTGTTTTTAAGACTAAACTCTGTAATAGTCTTAATGTTTTAAACATTTTTGTTTGTGAGTCTTGCATTGTAAATTGTTGTTCATGACAATACGGCTATTTTCTGAATAACTATTGTACTCTATTGTAAAGCATTTGTTTTGTGCCTTACCTCCACAAGCGTTCCACAACTTCCTAGAGGCATGACGGCGACCAGATGGCTGGCGTTGGAGAGTGTTTTCAAGTTGCATGAGGAGTCTGTAAACTCATTGAAATGCAATATGTCCTCATTATGCTTGACAAGATAGTCTTTTTCCACCTCCACAGAAATTGTTGTTTCATTGCAGGTCACTTTGGCCTCTGGAAAATTTGAAAAACCATCAATATTGACAGGAGGTTATTTAAATGATGCAAGGAGAGTTTTTGTTTTGCTTAAGTTTAGTCTACTTTCTATCCAATTAGCAACAAGGCTATGATCTATTTTCTAGCTTTTCTCTCGTTTTAACATCTTGATCTCATGATCTATATTTTAGATTATTGTTACTATTTAGACAATCTCTTTATTTATTAAGAATACTACAAATGAGAAACTAGTTGCTTAAGGTTCAAAATGACTACTTATGTCTTCCATTGAGGCATTGTTCCAGTTATCCTTATGTTTTAGGGAGGAACATTTTTTCAGTTTACCAGCTTCTCTCCTTCAGTTGATGTCAAGATTCATAAACCAAATACAACCTAATTAATACTCCCACAATTACATTCACTGACTTACCATGATGCCCAACACCGATAGTAATGCAGCGTAGCTCTGAATGATAGACTTGGTCAAGCCTGGAATGTAATGTTGGACAGTTATCACGTCAATAAGTCAAGATATTTTGCAAACCACTTAAGAATGTTCAAGTAACAAAACAGTATTTTCAAAACTTACTGGTCTCTTGCTTCAGATACAAAGCAAATTGGGAAATAATCATAGAGGTTATTTGAAGTTGGAGTCCATCTTAGGATGTATGTATCATAAGAGACGTTCTCCTTTAATAAGCCAGCTGGTCCTACAACAAGAAGGTCATGAATCCTAGAAGACAACACAATTGGTTAAATGAGACAATTACAAATAGGAAAAATATAATAAGTCGTATACAAAACCTCAATTTGTCTACACATGTATGGCATCAGTTAATGGCCAGTTAGGAGAAAAATGAGTAGCCGTGATTATCGCTTAACCTTTGCAGGTATTTATGGGTATAGTTGGCAATCTTCTAAATGCCAATGTGTTGGAAGAAGGACAAATGGACAAAGATTTTAGCATTTAGTAGAGGGACCTATTTGTCTGGCTAGAGGACTGGCTGACACCATCTCCAAGACAGTGTGGTGTTCCCAGTTGAAAGAAAAGTTGATGCTGACTGATGGAAATGTGATGAAGCATAAGCAGTTCAGTCTAGTATATGGAGTTGCAGACCAGTGAGGGTTACTCTACAGACACCAGCTCCACAAACCCTTAATAATGGGGGATGGCAGCAACAGAACTAGGACATGGACCAAGATAAGTTACTGACTTGAGTTGACATTTTGATTTAACTCAAGCGTTACTTAAATGGGGAACAAAACAAAATGTCCACTTGGAAAAAGGCAAGTCAACTCAAGCAGTGTAATGATTTGGGCAGTGTTTTGCTGGGAAATCTTTAGGGCATGCCATTACTTTGATGTATATACCACCTCCCTAAAAGATGTTGCACTTCAGGTACACCTTTATGGAGGACCAAAACCAGCATATTAAGAAAGAAAAGCATAAATACATATTTAGTTTTTTCTTTTACTTACACATGAGTTTCCATCAAGTAATGTATATATTTTCTTTATTTCCCCTAAACATGCGCTTTTGTCAAGAAAAATATTTTTGCTTTGTCTTGTTTTGCTTCCCCCTTTTCTGCTCGCTGTATTTCCGTTTCCTGTTTTTCTGCTGCATCGTTATGTTAATGACAAAAGCTGCCTTCTATGTCTCCTGTTGGCCAGTAGAGCTTTGGAACCAGCGTCACTGCTTCAGACGTTGTGGGGGCGTTTAGGTGCATTCACTCGGTCCCATCTTTGCAGGCCACAGACCAAAACAAACTTTATCCCAGTGGTTTTATTGTGTTACCAACTGCAGTGAAGTTAGTTTCAAGTTTGATATTGGATTTTCCAATATCCACCGAACAAGTGGAGTTAACAAATGGAGTTTAGCTCGAGGTTGATTAATGAACGCTAATTTCGGCCAACCGTTCTCTAGCACCCTCCTCAAGCGCTATGAAGTAGTTAAATATATGAAGATCTTGGTATTTCTTTTCCTTAATTCATCAAACACTAGTGAAATGGAGGCAAACCGTAGTTTGTAGCTAAGCTAACTATGCTAAATGGTTGATAAGCTCACACAGTCTACTCACCTCTCTTGGAGAAAAATTTACAAATTCACACTTGTCTTTTTCTCTCTCATCTCCATTTTTTGAAAACCTGACTTCATTATTTTTCTTGGCAGCATAGTAACTGCCACAGTCGTTCTTGTCTTCTACTACTGACTGCT